TCAAACCAATGCACCTAATATGATTACTTTTGGTCACCGATCAAACTTTATAATTTTTGAACACCAGATATTGACTCAGAACAGCTCTTGTCGCTTAGACATATAATACTAAATTAGTTAGGGAATTATTTTATGTACACTAATTGTACGAGCTTAATGATAGATAGGAGATAGCAAAACATGTTAACACTAAGAATTAGACTAATTGCAAAGGTGGCTAATATGCTATTGGTAATAGGAATTGTCTTTTAGTACAACTGGACAGATTTTGACAAAAAAGTACAGACTGGAGTTTCCGGAGTGTACACGACGTCTCTCCCTGGCAGAAGCGCAAGCGCACTTTTGGGGTCCTACTTCTTTGCCTTCGCCGCAGCAATTAAAAAGTTCGAAAATCGCACATAAAGGTGGGGTTCTATTGGCACCATTCCTACAACCCTGAAAATTAATGATCTCGACAATCGAGAGTTAACTAGTAGCAGAAGCTCACAGTAAGAGTATACGACTTTTAATTTCTTCTCGTTAGCTAAATTCAACATTGAACAACAAAACAAGCAAACAATCTTGTCGACAAAATGAATACGTTGCAATAAATGGTGGATACCATAGGCATGGTGGAGGAAACCATTGAAAGGGTGCATTATGGAGCTTATAGAAATAAACAACTTGAGGAAGGCCAAAGAAAAACTGAGATAGCTAATAAAAGAGGAAAAGAAGGAAAAAGAAGATCAGGAGGAAAAAGAACAGATGAAAGAGTATAATACCAAGCTGAGAAAAGAAGAGGAGAATAAGTAAAGGAAGAAAGAGGAGAAGTAGGAGGACAAAGATGAGAATAGGAAGAAGAAAAATGTCCTATAAATAATGAGGTGTTGGTGGAGAAGAAGGGATTGGAGACAGTAGAAGAAAGTTAAACAGCCCTTTTTAGGGCCACTCCATTGCCTCGAAAAGATATATGTTCTCTCTTGCCATATTTGTGTATTTATTTGTTTGTTTATGTCTATGTCTCTATGCATGTTTCTATGTCTATGTCTCTTGTATTTGTCTCTATCTAGAGTAGTGTGTATTCAGGTCAGCCACTTGCGACATTGTTGCCAGTGTCCAGTACCGTGATATCAATTCCCATTGATCCTAGAGTACCCCATATTAAAGCTCCTTTTGACCCCAAAGTGCAACGACCAAATTTAACATTAAACCCTCTTATCTCTGTCCTCCACTGTAATACTGGCCGCCATATATAGCCTATCTTGCTTGTTAAACTACAAAACAACAACGATTTTTTCAGATATATTTACTTTTAGCATATAGTGACTTTAATTTACTAGTTAAAAAACGAGATAGCATAGTTGTTCTTTTGTTTCAGATTAGTTTCAAGCTGTTATTGTTGCTGTTGTTGTTGTTCTTACTGGCGATAATGGTCCAATATGTCAAGAACGTACCTCAAATGACCACGAGTGCTAATATTCATTGTACCTATTATATTCAATGAACTCATGTTGTTTTGCAATAAAGTAGACAGTGACCTACATATTTTCCTTAGCAATCTTTTTCATAAAAAGCAGTCCAAAAAAAAAAGCGACAGGCTTACTTAGATAAATCTGAATTTAGAGATAAGTAAGCTGTGTATTGAAGGTTCTGTCGATATCAACTGTTATGTGTAACGAGTCTATGCTCTTAAAACATATAAGAAAAAAGAGTGAAGACAACACGCTTTGTCAAATTTAACAAATAATTCATTTCCCAAGAATACAAAGCGAAAAATGTGAAAAAAAATAACTTAGTATCTTCATAATTAAATCCAAAAAATAATGCAAGAATTAAAGACACGAATCTTAGTAATAAAAAGTCCTGAATAAAACTCAGTTCAAAATCCCTTAGATATTTAAAACTGAAGGCGATGACATTTTTGTTATGCCATGTGAAGTGCTGATGTGTCAACAGTCTCTTCTTGAATCACATACATATTATTTCAGATTTGAATTCAGTATAGATTCCAGTGAATGTCTTTATCCAAAATTTTGGCAGAGCACTTTTATATTTCCAGAGAAAATAATGACTTGAATTCAATAATTTAAAGAAAAAATAAAATCAGCCCAAACTGGTCAAAACATAATAAAACTTAAAGTGCCAGATGTTAAAGCACGAGTGGTAAAATCCTTACTGTCACAAGATTGTGGGTGATTAATATGGTTGGGGTGGGGTGCTCTCAATATTTTTTTTAAAACTATTATAAAAATCCTACCTAGGCTCGATTTTGGTTGATTGATAAATTAATGAATAATAAATGTAAAGCTTCAAGCCACCATTATGTAATGCCGAGGGTTAATTAGTTAATTAGTTAAATATACAAAAAGGTTGAAATTCAATGATTAACATTTCAATAGCAATTCAATAATTAAATGCTTCAAATGTACAAATTGCACTCGACCCTTTAATACCGACTGAATTACTTGATTAGCAGTGTGAAATCGATTTCTACATGTCCCTGTATTCTACTCTTTGGTGTTCTCTCTCCTATTTCTCCAAATTTCTTCTCTTCTTCTCCGACTTTCTCCAAATTCACTCTCCTCCTCGACTTCTCTAGGCCCCTTTTCCTTCTCCACTTTCTCCTCCAGACTCCTCTTCCTCCTCCTCCACCATCTCTTCAGCGACTAGACTTCTGTCGACTTCGACTGTTCGGCTAGTCTCACTTTTGTCCCAACTCTTGGAGATTCGGGTCTCAACTGAACCGGACATTTTCTTGCTACCAAAAAGTTTCCTTTTCGAAACTTTATTTTTCCTTATAATCTGCCTGTAAATTTTACTGCCAAATTACGAATGACTTTTCTGGGGGTAACAATATTGCTTAGAAATCGGTCTAAGCGAAATTAACTTTTCATTTACAAGTTCTGAAAGTATAATTTGCGACGAACTGTAATCAAGCCCTCTATTTCAATTTTTGATTGGATATCGCTTTGGACCGACACAATACAACTTATCGGACAATGTCCTTCGTGCGGTCTGTCAAAGTGGGTTCGGATAAAAACACAGCCCGTTTGCCACGTGGACTTCACTTAGATCTTTAGACAAATCTTTCAACACCTAGGGGCTATAAATACAAGCCTTTGTCAAATGGTGTGACCTATTGCCGGAGCCGATCCAAGATTCCAGCCAGTCGTGCAACCTTGCGCAAGAGATTAAAACTAGCCTGCGGAATAGACCTCAAAAACGGTAATATCCCTAGACAGGCAGTTTATAGCTTATACGAGACGGTTTAGCTGGGGTTTACCAAATAGGACAAAGATAATATAGGTCTCTGCTTGACCTCAGGTCACAATTAGCATTTTTTTTAAAAAAAAAAACCCTTGCCTAATAGAAAATAACTTTCAAGAATTATCTAAGAGTCTTGTTTATTTACCTCACGATAGCCTACGAAAATCCCTTAGGAATCTCCAAAACCCTGAGGCTGATCAACATATTTACGCCGTCTGGTTTACCTGCAAAATAATCTGATAATAAACTCGTCGACCTAGAGAATAAGGAAGCTATTGTTAATTGTTAACGTAAATAAAACCAAATAGTTTTAAAAAGTCAATCAGGTCATGCAGAAATGAACTCAATTTTGGATAAGGACAAGTCCAGCAAACAATGTCAGACTACAAAAACATGTAATGAAATAAAAAAAATAAAACTAACAGAAAAAAAATTAAATTAAATATACATAACACATATTTACATTTCACTTAATATCTAGGGTGAAAAAGTCATTACAATATCCAGATGCAATGTTCTTTTGGAATTTGATGAACATCTTTTCTGATAGTTGTGCAACTATATTCATTAAATTACGTCGTAACACATTTCGGCATATGTATTTCGACAAAAGTTTTTTTGCATAGAGACCTTACACCTTTTTATGCGAACAACGCAATTTTATTTCAATTTGTCAGCTCATAGTAACTTGAATTATTGACTTTTTGTTTTAGCAGGGTGAATTGATTTGATGCTACTTAAATCCTTTAAATCATGTAATACATTTTTACAGATTTATAATTTCATAAAAATTGGGTTGAGCAGTATTCTTTATGGGCTCTGCAGCATTTCTGGAGTAAAACTATAAAATGTAATACTTACCTACTGTTTAAAAATAGTAAATAATCTACTTTTTGAAGAAAAAATTAGGTACATGGTAGTGTATAATCTTGTGAAGATCAAATCTATTTTCAAAGACATGAAAAGTTCCTTGGGTGTTTGATGTGAAGTGGAGTGGCTGAACGGGTAAATAATTAATGCAACTGCTCTCTCCTCATCCTCGAAGTAAATCCACCAATGGAGTTGTCAGATTTTTTTGTGATGCTTGAGAGTGGCTACAAATGTAAGACTATTTTAGAGGAGCAAGACTGGACAACCCATTTACTTCTTTCTCTTCATTCTTTTAAAAATCCCTTTCTAACCCCAAATCACCCGGTTTTATAGCCGAGTCTAGACACTACGGCTATACCAAGCAATTGTATTTTGAAGTTCACAAATCTGAACATTATCCGGTAGTTGAAACTGTTATTAAGGTGCCTGCCCCATGCATTACAATAACTTTAGGTCAAATAACCCATCATCAACCAGCAAACATGCGATCAGGTGGTTTATACTGCTCTCCACACTGAATGATAATGAGGGAGTCATGAAAAAAAAATCGACCAAGTGTAGAATTAATAATCGTGTCGGTAATTGTAAGGAAATCTGTAAACAGGATTTTAGAAATCGGAAAATCAGGTGATTATAGCTATCCCGACAGGAATGATATTTACCCCTGACATGCACTGATACGACAGGCATTGATATTTACCCCTGACATGCATTGATACGACAGGCATTGCTATCGAGGAAAGACACTCTTGACTAAAAGTTTTATTAAAGTCTGTGATTTGGTTTTTAAATCAAATGAAAAATAATGTAGTAGCCTCTTTAAATATTTGTATATCACGCTCACGCGAGGATTGTTTCTTTTGTTTTACTTTTGATGATGAACCGCTCCGGTGGCCTAGTGGTTAGAGCGTCCGCCTCGGATGTGGGTGGATGTGGGTAGTGGATTAGAACCCCGGCCGACCCATACCAAAGACTTTTAAAAATGGTACTAAAAGCTGCCTCGCTTGGCGCTCACCATTAAGAGGTTAGTGTTAAAACTGGTTGGACTGGTGTTAAGATAATAATTTGACTGGGTTGGATATCATTCCATGTCTGCGCCAGTGCTAGACATCACTATAAACTGTCATACTGCAGACATTGTAGCGATATGACTGAATATTGTTAAAGATACGTTAAAAATCTAAATCACGCACACACTTTTGATGATGTTGTTAATTCGGCTGTGTTTGATCCGGATGATGTGGCTGTGATTCATTTCATTTGCGGGTCCTAGTAACTCAACCTTGCTAACTTTTCGCATACCACTTGGTGATCATATCCTACGCTCTCGCTCTGGTTGCCACAAATGACTAACTGTAAGTATGCTGATATATAAGAGAAATCATTGCCTAATTTCAAATTTTGTCAACATATTTTTAGGCGTTTTTACTTAAGCAGGGTCGGAAACTGCAATCGCTTCAATCCTGCCTATTATAGTGTTAACGTCATCCTCTGTTCTACAACCATAAATTCAGCGAATCTCCTACGCACGAATAGATCCCCAAAGCTGATTACAAGACTTAAAGCCAACACATTTAAGGCATGGTCGAGCACGTAGACTAATAGATAACGCCAGAACTTTCTATTTACAGTACATGTATTCGGAGTAGCATGTTCTGCTGCAGATAACAACTTGCATTCATTAATATTTCCACTGAATATTTTTTGCGTGTTTGAATATAATTATCTTAAATGCAGTATTTGGCCAAATAATAAATGACCGCCGCTTGTAGAATGAAACCCGATGACGTAAAATGGCTTGCACTGTTGACTCCCTATTTGTTCATTCGTAATAAATAATTATTTTGAAGTAATAATTGTGGTCTGAGTCAACCTTTTTTATTGCCAATGGTGGTAAAACTCTTATTTTGCATGCACCACGCGTATTTCGACTTTACTCATCAAGACTTATTGATTTAAATACATGGCAAACAAGCATATGAGAACCGTTTAAAAAAAAAGTTTTGTTGGTCTTCTTCAGGGTGCAAACTTGGACCACATATGCTTTTGTGACCACAACACTAAATATTTTAATCTTCTTTAATTATGTAGCAGATTTTATGAAGTAAAAACTTAATCATAATACAACATAATCTCTGTTTTGAATATTAATACATTTAATTTTTAAAGAATTTTAAATAAAAACTTTAATTTAGAATACGGAACTTAAACGTGAAATTAAAATTTCTCAAACATTCTTAAGCTGAAACTGACAAATTGTAGAGTACAAAGAATAGTATTTTTAAAAAAAGTGGTCATAGAAGTCATTCGTTCCGAGGGAGGGGAACCAGACAGAATATTGCTAAAAACTTTAGTTAGGTATACATTTTTATTAGTATTTTTACCCAAGTGTTTTGAAAAGCCCATGCTGGTTTTTCTTTCTAAAAGGCTGTTTATAGGATCCGGGGCTTCAATGTCCAAGTCAGAATTCCTTCCCTTGTATGATCAAGCGATCTTTGCTAAGGCACTCCTATATCATATGTATGCTATATTGTGCATATGATATTTTGTTTGTATGTTTTATGTATGCTATATGCGTATTTACTATATTGTTTGCATGCTATATGTATGATATATGTGTATTTGCTATATTGTTTCTTTGCTTTATGTGTATTTGTTATATTGTTTGTATGTTATATGTATGCTATATTATTATTTGCTATATTGTTTGATTGCTATATATATATATATATATATATATATATATATATATATATATATATATATATATATGTATATATACACATATATATATATATATATATATATATATATATATATATATATATATATATATATATGTATATATACACACACATATATATATATATATATATATATGTGCTATATGTGTATTTTCTATATATTTGTAATCTATATGTATGCTATATGTGTATTTGCTATATTGTTTTTATTCTCTATGTCTGCTATATGTGTCTCTGACATATTTTTGTATGATATCTATATATATATATATATATATATATATATATATATATATATATATATATATATATATATATATATATATATATATATATATATATATATATAGTTTAATACAAACAATATTTTCATACAGGTTAGAGAAATTAAATTCGTACTCTACGGAGTTTCGAAGCCAGGTCCGCGAGTAAATGGCCCCCATTGCCATATATGTGTGTGTATGTGTGTGTGTTTATCTGCTATATTTTTGTATGCCATATTATGCTATATGTGTATTTGCTATATTGTTTGCATGCTATATGTGTATTTGCTATATTGTTTGTATGCTATATTTGTATTTGCTATATTGTTTGCATGCTATATTTGTATTTGCTATATTGTTTGCATGCTATATTTGTATTTGCTATATTGTTTGCATGCTATATTTGTATTTGCTATATTGTTTGTATGCTATATATGTATTTGCTATATTGTTTGCTTGCTATATGTGTATTTGCTATATTGTTTGTATGCGTTATGTGTATTTGCTATATTGTTTGCATGCTATATTTGTATTTGCTATATTGTTTGCATGCTATATGTATGCTATGTGTGTATTTGCTATATTGTTAGTATGCTATATGTATGCTATATGTGTATTTGCTATATTGTTTGTATGCTATATGTGTATTTGCTATATTGTTTGCATGCTATATGTGTATTTGCTATATTGTTTGCATGCTATATGTATGCTATATGTGTATTTGCTATATTGTTAGTATGCTATACAAGCTGATGTCAGGAGAGCGTTTATGCCAAAATTTAAACCAGTTCTTACCGTTTGGACTATTTTAATTTTAAAAAAGATTTGCTTGGAAATGATTGGTTTCCATTTCCTTATTTATATTTTCCTTTAATTTTGAAAACTTTTTTTGTAAAACAAAAATGACCACCGGATGCATTTACAAAATGTTTAAACTTCTTCTTGTTTTTGTGTAGTGTTTGTGAGACATTTCTCATTTATATCTTAATTATTCATAGGTGAGGAGGCTAGGTCCTATCTAAGAGCCGTATATCCTTTTATTATACATTTAATATTATATATTTCTTCTATTATGCTTTTTCTTTATTATATATTCCTTTTATTACACATTTCTTTATTATATATTCCTTTTATTACACATTTCTTTATTATATATTCCTTTTATTACACATTTCTTTATTATATATTCCTTTTATTACACATTTCTTTATTATATATTCCTTTTATTACACATTTCTTTATTATATATTCCTTTTATTACACATTCCTTTATTATATATTCCTTTTTACACATATCTTTATTATATATTCCTTTTTTACACATTTTTTATTATATATTCCTTTTATTACACATTTTTTATTATATATTCCTTTTATTACACATTTCCTTATTATATATTCCTTTTATTACACATTTCTTTATTATATATTCCTTTTATTACACATTTCTTTATTATATATTCCTTTTGTTACACATTTCTTTATTATATATTCCTTTTATTACACATTTCTTTATTATATATTTCTTTTTAAACACATTTCTTTATTATATATTCCTTTTATTACAATTTTCTTTATAATATATTCCTTTTATTACACATTTCCAATTTTCATTCTCTACCCTTGCAACGTACATTTTGTGTTATCTCTTCTCTTATCCATCCATATGTTTGATGTGTTCTTACGCCATAGTTCTTTATAGTCCGTAAATTTAACTAATAGTTCCTTAATATTTCTAACTTTTCTAGGTATTTCTAATTTTTTGGATAATAAATTGTTCTTATATACATATATTATAAAACCAAAGCGTTATATATGTGTCATGGGTTCTGAGTTTCTCATTTTTATTCTGATTATATTAGAACACTCTAGTAGTAATGGGATTGGTAATGCTAGCCCTCCTCTCTTTTGTGCCCTACACAAAATTGTTTTTTTTATTTTTATTATGTAATGTGTTTTGTATATCATATAAACCTATTATTTCATTATTTAGTTTACTGAATTTTTGTTATCTAGTTCTATTGATTTTCATATTTATTGGTTACTGCATTTGTATAGGAAAATATGAACGAGTTTTTCGGATGGATATACTGCACGACCTCGGGAGTGCAGTATATCCTTCCGACAAAACGAGTTCATATTTTCCCATATAAATACAGTAACCTTTTTATTATATGCTCATTTCTTATTCTTCCCAAGGCTTAAATATATAAACAAAAATACATTGAAAGAAACAAAGTAACTAAATGTACGCCGTATTCCGAACTAAATACATAAGCGTTGATGGATCATTACACAAAATTATTAATGAGCGCATAACTCCACCTAGATAAATATGAAGTTGGTCGCGCGCTAGACGTAAGTTTCGAAAGAAAATGGAACTTGCTCTACTTAAAATTGAAATTTGGAGTAATATTTTTGATGAATAAGCATTGCAACAACTTTTCCATTTGATCTGGAATGAATACCTTTTGGTATATTTGTCAATTCAACGCAATCTTTATCTACATGAAGTGACTTGCATCGGATTCCAGCAGCGTCTGCCATTTTAATGTTTTGAATTGTGTGGGAAAATTATAAAGCCTTTCCTTTGCAATTATTGAAAACACGCTGTGGAAATTAATGTTTATTTCATTTTGAATGAAGTAAGGATGATGTAGCTACACTTAGAATATACTCGAAATTACAGTACAATTTCAAAATGTGTAATCAATCTTGAGAACCCATGACATGGCTCATCTCAATCAGATTTACAGACCTACGAAAATATATTTTTTTTAGGAAATTCAGGATGTAAAATTGCAAGTATATTTTTGGCTATTTTGATTAACAGCTAAAGAAGACAGTTTATGTGTATAACTTCCATTTTATTGTGAGGAACCTGTATAGCGTCAATATATAGTTAAATTTGAAACATTATATTAAAAAAGTAAACGTGGAATGTGCCAAAGCAGTTT